AACATTTCCTCATTTCATTATTTTATTCCAGTGCAGGTCAGCACATGTGTGGGCTGTCCACTCCTCCCAGACCAAATACTGTTCAAAGCAGTTTTAGGAAGTAACATTATCTAAGTCTGGAACTGTTTTATTTTCCTGTATTGCGACTGTAAGTCATTTAACTGAATGAAATCTTATGTTCCTAATTTTGTATATGAAATATATAAGTTTGCTTTTGTTCAAACACACAGTTTTGATTAGGTAAAGCAAGTAAAATAAGTAGTAGCTACTTTGGTGTAGAAAAGTCTCCCTGTAATAAAGCTTTCTGACACTGAAGGTGTAACCAGTGTTCTGGTTTGTGGCTCTACTCTCAAACTGCAGCTCGTTTATTTGGAAATCATTAAAACAATGACAACCTTTTTTTAGAGAGAGAAAATCATAGTCGTTGAACGAGGGATTATACGTTTGCAAACTCTCTCAGCCATGGCGTTGTGGTGTGAAACACTGAATCTAGTTTTTGCTGTGTGTGCAGTAATGACAGCTTCCTCATATGTGATTTTGCATGTGCAGAACAATAGCAGGAAACTAAGTCACTTGGATGCCTTTGCCTTCAAGCGTTGGCACGGAAAAGGAAAAGATACAAGAGAGGTCACACAAAAACACACATGAAAACAGGCTCACACACACACACAGACACACACACATACCTGCATTGACTACAGTGGCACTCAACCTGGGGTCTCCCAGGGGTCCTGGAGGGAGTTTCAGGGAGTCCTGAGAAGCATAAGGAATATTTTAATTTAGCTATTATTTAATTGACTGGAAGTTAGCCCAGTTAGATAATGTATAATAATGACTATTCTGTAGGTTGTTCCGTGTTAATCTGCTGTATCTATAGTATTAACAGAATAACTACATCTTGTCAAATAACCTGATGTGCATCAATTTGACAGTCCTTGACACCAAAAAGCTTGAGAACCACTGCTGCATATATAACTTTGTAGTTATACTATATTATTCACAACAGGAAGGGTTAAACTTGCTAATGGAAAGTCATCTCAACCATCAAAATCCATTTAAATTCCGATTTTGTTCCAGTAATGTTTTAAAAACAATACACGATCATTCAATCAATCCACAAACCAATCAATCTATATCAATGAATTAATAACAATTGAAGTTGTATTTACATTCAGGTTAAATTAGCACAAATAAATCAACCTATTTGCATCTGTATTTGCACTTGTATTTATTGTACATGACTGTGAATGCATTGACACATGAGAGTATGTGTGTAAAAAGTATTTTCCATATAAGTCTGACTATAAGAAAAATATGTATATTTTGTTAAGTAACATATGGAAAATTAGAGAATTATACGTTTCTATAGGTGGAGCCCCAAATTAATTTTTCTAGAATTATTCATGTTTTTGTTCTGTAACTTCCGATAAGGTCCACCAGTGTCACAGAGCTTAAACTCTGACTCAATGAATGTGGGTTAGTCTGCGTAGGAGATGTCTGGCACTGTAGGACCACTGGTGGGCTTCATTGACGCCACATTTGGCCACCTAAGTGTACACAAATACAAGTGCAAGCCCACACACACACACGCACACACACACACACACATGCCGCACCCATACTACCACTGAGAACACTCCAGATCAGTGACTGTGTATGAAATGCTGGCCTTTGTCTTCTCTCACAGTGGCCACTTTCATTCAGCACCAGTATGTGGGTCTGTTGTTGTCTTTCAATATTTGCTGCCAGTTGATCGGCACTATAATGCTTTGTAGGCAGAGAATACATTGGCTGCGGTACAATCAGCCTATTGTGTGTGCTCTGAGAAACATCAGCTGCAGTGACAAAGTGTTGGAGTAGGCAGAAAATGGAAATTTTCATTCATTTTAAATTTGCATGTACTCATACTGGACTGAGTTGAACTGATGTCAGGAACTGGTTATGATTCAGTCTTATTGTAACAGTGGGTTTGGTTTTACAGGACAAATGTCAAATTACTCACTTTTCATATTTGATTTTTGTTTTATTGTTTGTCATTCTGGTGCAATAAATATACTTTTGTTTTTCTTTTCTTTTCAACTTGTATGAGAAAAAAACACCACTATCCACTACTTTAAATCTGTTCTCTGATATAATCATTTAATAGCCATTCAATGACCAGTACTTTGCATACTGTTATTCATAATATTCTGCTGTCAGATGTATGATATGCCACTCTGGTAGCTGTGATTTAACATAAATTGGAGGGAATAAAACATAAAACAACAACGCAAAGATTCTTATTTTCATTGCCAACTTAGAGACAGTATCAGAGCTGTATTTTGCCTGGTAGTGCAGGCAGATTGTCTTGTCTAAACAGTTTGGGCTCAAAATGTGTTAAAACTCTTCAGTACACCTATAGAATGATCCTTTCACACCTCATTGTTTGTGTTTGTCTTCAGGAAACCTCTTTGTCATTGTCAGAAGTTCACAGAGTGCCTGGTGAAGTGCGCCTTTCCTCTTTCCTGTTTGTCAGAGAGAGGACGTTGTTTTATTCTGTAGTTTTTGTGAATGGCACAGGAAAAACAAGTCCAGTCCGCTCTGAACTGAGTCCAGTCTGTAGAGGGCATCTTGGTTTTGGTTTGGAGGATCACTTTCTTGGCAGGGAACCATACTGTGAAAATACAGGGTCATATGAATTTCCTGTCTACCAATAACATCATCCTGTTGAAACCCCCAGTAATTTATTTCTTTTTTTCAAATTAAGCTTTAATACAACTGTAACAAACAGGAAATAAGGATACATTAGCTTTGGATTTGACATTTTAACTAACAAATGTTTATACTACAGAAATGCATTTAAAAGCAAAGAGCGTATTAAGTTCAGGAAATACTATTGAGGACAAGTATTTCCATTTACAGTATTGTGCATTGTTAGAATAAACGTCATCCTATCCTTTGCTGCCACCTCCAGGGGGCAGAGACTCAGTCTTGTGACAACACAGAACTTCAGCCTTTACCCCAGTTTGTTCTGCATGTATCACCCGCCTTCCCACCTCATAACAAAAGAGAGCAGTGCAGTGATCAGTAGTACATAATACTGTTTCTCATATAGGATACAGTGGGTTCTGGTTGTGTTCCCAGATCTTTGAATAATGGGATTGGCCCAGCACATAAGTAGTGATGATGCACAGTAGAGACTCCTGTAAAGTACAATCAAATTACTGTAATACGGTTCTTTTGCACTAATGCACAAGTAGTAGTTCAGTCTATAGGGACTTGGATTGGGAACCAGAGGGTGGCTGGTTCAAGTCCAGCATGGAGTGTGGCCAGTTCCCCTTCTTAGTGCTGCCAATGTGCCCTTGTGCAAGGCACCTAACTCCTAACTTCTTGGGGTGCCTGACTATATATGTGGCAGCTCGTAACTCTAACATCTCTCCCACCAACTGCATAGCTATTGGTCCTATATCTGTGTATAATGATAACAATAGAGTGAAAAAAAATGACTTTATCCCAAGGGGTATTAATAAACCAAATCTTCTTCTTCTTTTTCTTCTTGTTCTTGTTCTTCTTCCCTGGAACTCCCTGGTGCAGGAAGTTAAAATGTGTTTTATATTACAATTTAACTTTCACTATGGTGACAACGGAGCATTGCCAAAGGTGAGATTAGTTCAAGATATAAAGCCAGCAGTATAATATAACTCTACAAATACTAAACATTGGTCCCCATGTGCTGTCTGGCAGTATGGAATACAGCAATAAAATATTGTTATATTATTATAGTCATTATGAAGGTGTCCAAAAGTACACTAGATCATTGCAAGAGATGAAGATTCTGCATGTTAAACTGTAGACTGTAAATAAAGTGTCAGCTGGACTTCATTGTTCCTCAGATTGAAAATCAGCACAGTGCATAAAGCAGGGCTTTAGGAAGCTAATAATTATTTTTATTATCAATTAATCTTCTTGTTTAATCATTTTGTCTATTAATTATCAGAAAACAGCTAAAAATGGTCATCACAATATCCCAGAACCCAAGGTGACTATCACCAAATGTTTTATTTTGTGTCCAAGAATATTTTTTAGTTTACTATAATTTAAAACCACAGCATGCAGCAAATCCTCACATTGAGGAAGACAGAACCAGAGAAATGTGGGCATCTTTGCCTTAACAAATGAATGAATTGATTATCATTAGTTTCTTATTCATTTTCTGTAGATTGACTAATCGATTAATCAGCTTGCAGCTCTGGTACAAAGGCTAATATTGAATAGGGATGACAAGAATTTAAGCAGACTATGTTTGACATTGGCTTTGACGAATAGTGGACTAAATCAAAACAGTTTTTCCTGATATAACTTCCATTTAGTCAGGAAATTCCATTTTTCAGGAATTATCAGTTTTAGGACAGGCAGTGATGTTTTGCTTCCTTCCTTGTACAGCAGTGACATCTACTGTTCTACATTTGTAGAGCACATCTTTAAAGGTCAGCAGGAAAAAGTACATTTTTCCAGCGAGCCATGAATTATTTCCAGTTGACCAGAAGATATCTGAAACAGTTCACTGATTTTAAATATAATAAGATTAATACTCTCATTCAACATTGAGGTTAAAGTAACATTAGTTAGTTTGAGTTGTAAAGGGATTTGAAGCTCAGTATTCCATAAAATAATACAGTAAAAGTCACAGTTAAGTGTAACTGTATCACAGAATCTGCTGCAAGCATCCAGGGGCCATCTATTGTGCTATTTAATCATAGTTTCTCAATGATTTTCTCCATGCTTCATGTTTGATTGTTAATTTGCTTTCATATGTCCTATTGTGTTATTCTTGCTATCTCCAGACTTCCTGTAGTCTTTATGTGTTTTATGGTGGATTTAAATACTAGAAAATAAATATATATATATATATATATATATATATTATCGATTAATGTTATTATAGTGAGCAAGGAAACAATACTTTATTCATTCAAGTGCCTTAAAGAACAATAAACAGGCAAAATAAGGCAGAAGCACAGTTTACAGAGATGGGAAGTCTTGACAGCAAAAACATCCTTTTATTTTCACTTTCAATTTTCATCAAATTATAATAATCAAAATCCAAAAAAGTCCTTTACAAATACAGGATAGCTGTGTTCATACAACTGTTACATAAATACACCATTGCAACATTTCCTTAATACAGACACACAGTTTATATTTATCAACAAAAAACACAAACAAAAACATAAAACATACTCATAGGACTACAAAGGTAAAATTACATACATGGGTATATTATGGTCAGTTATTATTTCCATAATTTGTATGTGTATGTGTGTGAATGTGTGTAGGTTTTACATGGGATTTTCAGTACGTGATATACGTTTGTGTGTTGTCTAAATTATTGTCCATGCCTCATCTAGGGCCGAGTTTTAAGGGGGCCTTGGGAGACGAGAAGTTCTTCTTGCCGTTGTGGGGCTTCACTTTCAGGTTTTGTTTTGGTGCCGTTTTCAAGTAAAAATGAAGCTGCGAGGGAAGAGATGAAGAACAAGGTTTGAGTGACCAGCGCAGAGTACATTTCCACCCCAGAAGAACATGCAAAAATAAACATAAGCCCTATCTGGGGTTTTCTAAACGTGTATTTGGACTACTTACTGGAAGTGTGTGAATTAGCTAATACATTCTTGTCTTATACATTATGCCCCGTCCATACACATAGAAACACACCTGTATGGCTTCAGCTGGTCCCACTGTGACAGTGCTGGTGGAGGCGACGTAACCTGGGGCAGATGCTGTCACTGTGTAGGTACCCGGTAACAGAAGTCTGAAATAGTCGCCATCCAGTCCTAGAGGGACGCACACATGGGAAAAAATGAGAAGTGGAAGAAATATTCAGATCCTTAAGTAGAAGTTACAATACCACGCTGTAAAAATACTCCACTAAAAGTAAAAGCCCTGCCTTCAAAAATTAATATCAGCAGAATTTACTTTAGACTATGTAACTTTGCAAAGTAGATATAACACAATCTTTCTTTTACAAATAAAAAATGTCATTCAAAATCAAATGCAGCTTCACTACGGCCAATACACTCTGGGGTTTTACTGCTATAGCTTTATTTGGCCTGGTCTGACCAGTAGCACATGGTGGTTAATGTTAGCAAATGTTAGCTAAGTTACAGTGGATATTGTTGTGTAACTGATATTGAGTGTGCTGACTTGATGACTCTTATCTACCTGTGATACTGTTACACTTAGTACCCACTATTCAGGCAAAATGACTGAGTTTTGTTATATATTATGCTATTGGATAATATTATGGATCCACTGATATGTAAACAAAATTTAGTACAAAGTACCATAAAATGATAATACTCAAGTAAGTAAGTACTACAGAAATTAACTTAAGTACAGTACTTGAGTACAAGCAGATACAGCGCATGCAGTCTGCAATATTCAAAGTTGGTCAAAGTTAATTTCGACCTTTGACCACTAGAGGGTGCCTTGTTCCATTCCAGTGTGAGGACTAACCACACTTTTCATTGTGGTAATACAATAAAATTCAGCTATAAGAAAAGTTTTCCCACATTGTTGAGAGCTGGACTTCTTTCCAAGAAGCCCAAAGCCCTAAACTTTGACTTCACTCTCTATCTGTGATTAAGATTTTTACAACAAGGTTTGAACACTCTGCATCCCCAGCCTGGACATTAGCAGATCATTTACCACAGACCTCACATACTCACACACGTCTTCAACACTATTTTTAAAGAGTGAGCAACTCCCAGGAAAAAACAACCACATGTGTATAACAATGAACTGACACCCCCTTCTCACCGCAGGTCACATCGTGGTAGATGCCAGCCACTGAGATCTCAGCGTTGCCGATAGGGTTGTTGTTTTCATCATACACCATGCCTTTTATCCCATGGTGCACCTGGAAAAGTAAAAACACAGCTATGTTACTTTTAAATATAAATTTTTCCATTTAATTTTACTACATTCTCACTTTAATTCCTTCAATAGATCATGCCATTTGTGCTTCAGCATAAACCATTTCTTCAAAAGAGACACACAGTTTATATTTAATCTACAAAAAACACAAACAAAAACATGAAATATATAATCATAGGATTACAAAGGTAAAATTACATACATACATATACTGTGGTCAATTATTATATCCATAATTTGTATCTGTATGTGTGTGAATATGTGTATGTTTTAAGGTGGCCGCTTGTGCCACCCAAAATATGTAAAACATGTTAATATCAGCATATCGGGTACGTGTGACCATCGATAGCTTTGTGTTTGAATGCTGCATTGATTTCAAGTCAGAATCTACATTTACCTCAGACCTTATTAACCTTCCTCAGCCCTGTGGTCTGCAACACACATACAGTAAAACAAGACTAGAACAGTATCTGCAGGCCGTCTCAGTTTGGTCTGTTTGATCAGTGCAGCAGAAAAAGGTATACGTGTCTGAGCTCTCCCTTAGGGCTTAATGCATCACTATTTCACCTTGGCACTCAGATAATCTGGGATAAGACATTTTGTCCTCAAACCAAGGTCTCTTTTCATGCTTGACGCGAAGGTAGAAGTCAGTTTACTTAAATTACACTGAATTTCACGCAGCTCAGTTTAAGTCACTTTATCCAGGGAATCCCAGCCAATACTTACAAGAAGGCAGGATTCATGACTGGTAGCAGGGGGGTTGTATGTAACTGTATGTCTGTGTGCATCAAGTTGTAAATGACTTAACAGTAATTTGCCAAATAAGGATTGTGTGTCTGTGTGTGTGTGTGTGTGTGTGTGTGGGTTCTGACCTGTTCAAGGTATGAAACCAGTGCTTCTCGGTTGCCCAGCCATTCTCTGGGCAGTGCTGATGCCGGAGGAAACTTATCACAGCTCAGCTCCAAGGTAATCTCAAAACAGTTGCTGTACAAGTAGTTGAAGTCCTGCATGCCTAAAACACAGAAATAGACCTTTTACATTTTAGGCGAAGATCTCAGAAATGGGACGTATTTGTCATATCAGTGGTTCCCAGTGTGGTTTATAGAGTTTACATGTGGATTTAGTTTGACTTTTAAAAGGTTTGTTCAGATTTGTAAGGATCTGATGTGATTTATCATTTCTGTTCATTTAAAAACCACTTATTTTATGGTCAAGAAGAATTGTTCCAAACCACATAATTTTGCTGTTGTGACAGACATGTAAGAACATTTATTTTTAGATAAACTGATATAACAACACAAGCAACTTTTTGCAATACAGCATTACTTTTCATAAAAACCTAATGCATATGAGGCCAGGATCAGGAGAGAAAGATCAAAACTAACCTCATAGACCATGACATAACACTTGGAGCAAAAGGACTTGTTAGAATAAACATAACATGCTGCTACTAAATGAGACTGTAGGCGTTTCCATCCAATTCAAAAGCTTGCATGACTCAACCAAAAAGCTCCACAGATTCACATTCCAAAGAATAAGCCAGGCCAGCCCAGACCAGGACTTACAGATCAAAGAAGTGGGTATTGTTATTATTGCAGTTACAGATTAACTGAGCTGAAATCGAATACATGCCCAGACAGTTGAAAGAACTTGGTGTGCTGTAGTTTCACAAGTTTCACAACTCATAAACCAAAACGAGGCAGGATGAGGACTTGCCTGCCAGTACCTAAGCTCGTATAACTCTGAATGGCCTGTAGGTGGCCAATGCCAGTAAATAATACTATATTAAACCAAACCCTAATAACAGCCCCACTAAGCACTCTGGCTACTTTCACGGTACACAAGAATGCAAATTAAACCTCAAATATTCACTGTTTTTATTTTGGAAGTGCAATTGGAGGACAGTAAATCTGACACTAGATTCAGGGTAGAACATTTTAATTGCACCAAGACAGGGCATATTGGATGACACTTTATTAAAAATACAGTCAACACACTTAAAGTGTATATTCAAGTACTGGCGATTGCTCCAGTATAGCACTATTTGTTGGCTTTAGCACTTGAATAGTAAAATTAGGTTGGGGAAAGAAACAGATATGTGTAGAAGGCTTATGCATGTGTTTATGTGCATCCCTGTGAAAGTATATTTGAGTTATGTAGCACCATTAGAATGACTGATGGGAATATTAATGATTTTTCCTGTATTGATGGGTGTCATCAGCAATTCTTCATCCAATTGCCACACAGGATTAAAACCACTGTGGCAGATTAATACAATGCCAGAGGAGATGGTGTTGTGGATTTGAATCTCTCCCATTTGCAGGGACTGTAGGAAAATTATTCAATAAAATATTTAATGGACAACTCATTTGATCATAAAAACCTATCAGTGCTAAAATAATGTAAAATGGCATAGTATTTTAAACTTAATGTTTAAATGGAACAATAATTCTCACAATACCTACTAAATTTCACATATATATAGTATAGTGCATCCCAAACGCCCCAGCCACTCTATGTTTGATCCAAGTGCTACTAACGGCTTTGGACACACTGCCCACACCCGCGAACATCTTGCTGCCAGCAGTCACGAGACAATAAAAAGGATCTGTTCATAGTCATGTTGACATTATACCAGCAACATATACATCTTTCACTACAGTTTCAATGTCTATATCTGTAGAATATGTCACAAACATGAAAAAAATATGATTTTTTTTTTTAAACTCAAATGAAAGCCAAAGTAAATGTAGAAAGATAGAGCTAGCAGCAGAAACACTTTGTGTGGACACCACAGGCATGTGAGACGCAGCAGTTCAGCGAGGCAGCCGTTAAACACTGCGTGTTGTGTAGTGTCCAACCCGTAACTAAATAGTTATTACCACTGTCAGAGACATAACTAATAATTTCCGTACAGTCCCTAAGGATGCAATTTGTCATTTACAAACTTGAGCAGCTAAACTGAGGGGTCAGTGGAAGTGCAGCTGTTGGTGTACAGAGGGTGAAAAGGTTAAAGGCAAGAGGAGAGCACACAGGCCTCAGAGAGAGTCAGAGGGTTCATGACGACACTGGGAAAGCTTGCCTTGCAAGCCACTCAAGGCATGTCATTCATGCTGTAGTCTATGCCAGCGCCTGCCATCATTCATGCAGGTGGCCTTGTCTTTCTTTAGAAAGGGAAGGATAATGGACATCCTCCAACACACTGGAATTTTGCACTTAAACAGGGAACAATCTGTTTTGTACGTAGTGAGTCAGTATTGTGCTAAATGGTGCTGGTAGAAAAATTAAGCTTTTTGTGGCTGTTAAATTCCATCTCTGTATCTGGCGTGTATGGCTGTACACTGCACTACACACGTCCCTTTCTTTCACTCAGTCAATGTGTGTATCCAGTGCTGCAGCATACTATATTATTAATAAATGCTTCTATGGAAGCAAACAGGGAAAAGGTCTGAATGCCTTTTGAAGACAGTTTGACATTTTGTGGAATTCACTAGATGAGGAGATTGAATCCACTCTCATGTCTGTGTATTAAATTTGAAGTACCACCTGCAGGAATGCTGGCTTAACCAACACCTCTAAAGTTCAGTTACTATCTACTATTGCTACTAGTACTACAAAGCTTACTAACTAACAGGTTATATATTGCTTCTGTACTTAAAAAGTGTAAAAATGTCAAGTTCCTTTTTTTAGCTAACTGGCTGCTAGGGGTAACTTCATATTTAGCCAATGTGTCAATCAAACAGTCAGCAAGATTAAAATCCTAAAAATCAATTATATAAAATACAGTGTGACCATTCATTCTTCAGCTTAGTTTATCCTCCCACTTTACTGTTTGAAACTCTACAAAGTTCATGGATTAAACTCAAAGGAATTTATGCGGCAATGTTGGACACTATAACAAAATCAGGAGGAGTATCTTTAAAGATGATGCTCTTCATCATTCCAGTGGAGTTTCTAGAGTTTTTAATATCTGTTTGATCGGTTGCTTTGTCTTCTCGCTGCTGTTGAGCAGACGTTCTCCTGCTTACCTTTGGACAGAGAATACCAGCTGGCCCCGTTGGTGATACCCTCATCAAAGAAGTCCCCACAGTTCCAACCCTTGTGCATCCAGCTGTGAGCGTACGAGTAGGTCCTGGCCAACTGTCATCACACACAAATGCACATGTGCCCAATCATCCACATGTTTTCGCGCACACACAGACACACACACACACACACACACAAAAACAGACAGTGATGAGTTCAGATGTGTGTAACATCTGGAGGGAATTTTTAATCTGCAGCACACCTTTCTGAAGATTTTGTCATCCGGAGTGGCTGCATATGTGTTCCTCCCTCGAATGCGAGGATCTCTCGACTTGTCGAAGGGGTAGTTGGCTACCACAGCTCCTCCGTGGAGGTTGGCTGACAGGACAAAATTGTAGTTTTGCATCCATTTTATGACAGCCAAAGTCTCTGGTTCAACCTGTGAGAAAGTTATAAAGAAAGTATCTTATAGGACTGATGTAGTTACAGGACAAAGTACACAGCATATGGACCTTTTTATACAATGAATTAAACTGTCCAGCGCACTCTTCGCGCCTGTCAAACATATTCATATTGTCTGGTTATTGATATTATTACACATAACCTTCACTTCATCCCACTCTTTTCCCAAACAACATTAGTGGACTGAAGACATCTGGTTTTCTTTTTGCACCCAGAACCACTGGCTTCTCTGCTTGTCTGGTTATGGGGACAACTCCTAGTTTTCTCTGCTTTAGAACATGCAAGTATTTTCTCTGTGTTCTTCTTGTTTTCCTCTTTTCACTTTTAAGCAACCAGGCTTATCTTTAGGAAACCGTGATTAATTCTTCAAGGTATCCTGTACCTTTCTCAAGCCCATAAATTGATTATGCAGCTTTACTTGCAGTGCACGTTCTTCCTCATCCTCCGCTTCAGTATATCTCATTTTATCTAAATGAATCAAGCATGGTTTGCATTTATTAAAATGCATCTATTTTCTCTATTAGTCTGCAAGATTTAAGTAAAAGCTGAAAGGATGAAAACACAACAGTTCAATTTTAGGGCAAATGTACAATATGCACTTCAATGTAAAATATCTGTTAGTTTCAAGGTTATTTTAAAGGTAACATAAGGCTGCTGATGGTAATTTGTGTATCTCATTCTGAAAAAAACAGGATCCTATGCCACACACGTAACTCAAAAGCATCTCTCATGCAAAGCTACCTTTAAATTATGCCATTTATTTTCTCTGTCAGCATTAACTATCCTCACACGCTCTTACCCATATATCACGCATGGAGACAAGGAGTAATGCCTCTCCCTGAATAAGGTATGCAGGACAATAAACACAGTCTGGTTCAACTGAAGGATAATCGGGCCGATCAGGGACTACCGGCCTTGAACGCAAACTTCTGTTTTCAGGACTGGCGGGTGTTTATTGTCTGTGGATCTTTATATACACTCATGCGTGCTTTGTAGTCACCTTGGTGTAGGGTTACATATGAAGGACATACTTGCACACTGATGATCATATCTCAGACAGAGAGAATAGCATGCTTTAAACCCACACATTCTGGATCATTCAGACAATTCAAGGTTAGATTTCACACTGTATGACATTATGTCTCTGCAGGCCAATCAACTGTCAGAAGTTCATGGTGCGAAGTGGGCTCTTATTCGGAGGCTGTATAAGTTTCAGACCCTGCTGACAGTCTGTGGTTCATAAAAATGGATTCCTGAGTGGAATCAACCAATAAAAACCACAACTACACTGTGAGACTCTGAGACCAGAGACGGTGCTGATCGCCTTTGTCCAGTTTACTGCAAGATTTGACGATTATAGTTACGTTTTCAAAAGTAGTACCTGAGTTTGTATATTTGTCAGTTATTGCAGCTGCCTAAAGATTAGTCTGCTGGCCTATAAACATATTTTTTTCATCTTTGCATTATTTTGTGGATCAGTCTCTCTTGTTGTGTTTTTTTCTTTTATTAAACCCTGGATGAAACATCATCAGTTGCCTAGTTAAAATGTAGCATAGCTGAGGCTGCAGGCGAGCACAAGGGTTTGTGGCTTCGTGTAGCCCCGTTGAGAATGTAATCCTGACCAGCATGAATGAAGTATCTGTAACAGTGGCACAGTTACTCTTTTGTGTTTGCCTTTCAGGAGGCAGTCATGTGGGTAGACAGCCAGCCTGCGACTGGGAAGACCAGTGTTTTAGTTTTCTCAACACATTTGCAGCCCAGGAACTAGGAAATAGTAAGAAAAAGTAAGAAATCAATGGCTGTCCCTTGCTTGGGAACAAAATCTTAATAAAAACTTTATTGATGTGTAATAATAAAATCAACCACCCCTCTTTTTTTAAGAAGTAGCTCAATGATGGTTTCCTGACTTTACTTAGAGGCAATTACGCAGTCCTCATCTCACTCTAACTGCACATTTGTTAAGATTTGGGATCTTGTTACTGTTTATAGCTGCAGTGTAGTAGTGTACATTGATTTAAGTGGCTCTGTGTACAGTATTTATCAGTGTATAGACATGTTTAGCCAGCATAGACCCGTGTTTTGTTGTTTACTAGATTTTTGTTTTATATACTTTTTCAAAAAGTTTAGAATAAATGTAAAATTTGTAGATATCTGTGAATGTTATATATTCCTTCAGGTAAAGTTATAACATTATTTTATTATTGTTTTAATTCCTTTTTTTACTCTATAAAAGGTGTATTATTTCTTGTCATTTCAATTTCTTTACAAAGTTTATTACGTCTTTAATTTTGATTGATGATCTCATTTTAATAATTTTGTTAACATTACTATTGCATCACTCATATAAGCCTAATCTGGTCAATAGTGTTACAATGTTATGCAAACAAACACTGTTATATATATATTTGATATTGATTTTTGATATACATTACATATTTTCAGAGACATTATACTATCCAGCTGTAATAACACAAAGTGGTTTAAAGCAGGAGGAAATTAACCTTGAACAGTAGCTCTTTTAGTGTCTGTCGAAGATGACTCCAGACGAGACACCCCCGAGGATCTGACCTTAATACTTAAAATGTACTTTTCAGCCGACTATTAGCAATAGTTTGACAGCACACGCTCTCATCCTTCCCTTGTTTCTACATTTTGCACTGCAGTGATCTCAGATAATAAGTGCACAGTGAAATACAGTCACCCAGAACAGAACTGTGTCTCTACTACAACCAATCTGAGCTGAGTATTGAGCCACAAATACAGAACATCAGCATGTTTTTTAAATAAATTATACAGTTTATCCCCCTCGAGTCTGATTCTTTTCATTTTTAATGGATAGAACATGTAGTTGCATGTACAGTACCTGACTGTTCAGAGAGCGTAGTGTGATTCTGCCAAGTTAAAAATAGGAAGGAGCACAGTGCTCGATTAGGGGGCTTCCGTAGGAAGAAAAATATCCACCAGGGCTTTATCAGTTGTTCACTACCCACTGGAAGAGAGCACATTGGTAAAAGCTTCTGTTCTTTTGAAATACCATTGGTGGAATTTACTTTTACTCAAGCACTGTACTTTGATGTACTTTACATGAGTATTTCCATTTTTTGCTACTTTATTGCTGCTCCACTTCACTTAATAAGATTTTACATAAAACAACACATGATCAATCCATAAAATACAACACATTGTTAAGGATTAATCCAGTGGTTCTCAATGTTTTTAGCTTGTAACCCCTTCTAATAAAACTGTCTAGTTGCATCAGTTGCAGTTCCACCAAAGAGACTCAGACTGTTCAATTTAAATAATTGTTTCATCCAAAGGAAGGTAAAACAAAAAAAAAAATCCTGTCTTATTAATTATCTCACAACCCCTCAGATTTATTTATTTATTACTTTGGAGGGGTCACAAGTACTTTTACTTTTAATAGCCTACTTTAAGTACATTTAGCTGATAATACTTTAAATGCAAGATCTTTACTTGTATGTAATGTAAGTATTTCTCCATTGTGGTACTGGTACTTTGTGAAATACAGAGTGTCACACAGTATCTCAAGGTAGCAGGTAACACTTAGACTCTGAGACCGCAGAGTAGGTCAGTTCAAATTCTCATGGTGGTGAGGAAATTACAAAAATGTTTAGCTGAAGCTGAAAGTCTTTATATACAGTACATACATCTTGTCAGGTTGTTATGATTCCAATAGTGTGAGCGCTTTAGAAGACTTCTGTATGTCAACTTTATTCGATTGTCCTAACCGACATCATTAAAAAATTTCAAAGCTTATTATGAGCTTATTATCCCACAAATCCACAAAACTAATAGCAAACTTAAAAATATTCTGACCCATATCATTATCCAGGTTGTAAGGGATATTTTCACTGATGCTTTTGTGCTTTTGTGCATCAGAACCAGTAAGGCTGCCATTTTGCACAAAGGAGAGCGGCCTCTTTCTGACCGAGAGGTAGAAAAGCACCGTTTATATGAAGAGATATAGGTTTTACAGTAAGATAAGCAAACACACCCACTTAAATGGGTCAGACTATACAGGCGCACACAAACAGACGGACTACCAAGAGATTTATGGGGTCTACTTACTGTTTAAATTTATGGGCAGTTTCTTTTTATTTAGCAAAAGCTCAGCTGGCAGTGGAATCTGATCCAATACAAATCTCATGCATTCGTTTATGTCAACACAAGTTAAAGCCAAGATAACTCAGCTATGTAACACTCGCTCATTCTTCAGCTCCATATCAACACACACACAAACACACACACACACACGAAAAATGTACTCATCCATGTTCCTCTCTCCCTCTTTCTCTCTAACCTGCACATACATTTATTTTCAGACACATATACGTAGATAAATAGAGTCTTGTGTCTCCTGTGTGTTTATCCAGTAGCTCTGACCTGTTGCTCCCAGTTGTCCGGCAGGGGCAGGTGGTGGTTTCGTCCGTTGGTCTTCTCATAGTAGTACATGAGTGCGTTCAGGTCTGGAAAGTTCCGGTTCAAATCGATTTCTCTGGAGTTCCCTCGACCCACCAGGTAGCCGTTGAACTCTGGACCCTGTTGACCCACAGAAAAAATATCAAAAAACAGCAACTACTGTTGGGTCACCTTGTTTTTTTCCAAGCAGTCAGTGAGTGAACTATTTTGGCTTCTTGGGTTTTAAGATGCAGTTTTTCAAGTGAATCCAAATTGCTTGGAAGCAGCAAAGGAAAACTGGGTTGTGTATTCCACAAACTGCACAGGCAATCAGCAGTGTAACAACCGTACGTTATTTTCCAACAGGTTTCTTTATGGATATAACATTTAATTCACAATGACTTCTTTGTTTTTTTAGGACTCTAAACTCAGATCCTTTCCAAAACCTTTAAAGGGTGTTAGACTACACAAACAAGAGAAAAATCCAAGACACTCAGAGTCCTGAGTAGTAAAACGTCTATAAAATTATTGGCAGATTGGTATCATTGTTTACATTTGTGCATTTGAGTGAAAAGTGTCAACAACTTTTGGATGGATTGCTATGAAATTAGGTACAGATAGCCACGGCCCCCGTAATGACTTTGGTGGTCCATTAACTTTTCCTCTAGCGCCACCATCAGGACCGATTTTTAACTTGTTCAATACCTTTGGTTTATGACAAACACGAGAAAAACTTAACACATTCCTGTCAGCCTCAGATGTAGCAGTACTCTTTGTTTAGCGCTGATTAGCAAATGTTAGCATGCTAACACAGTAAACTAACTGATGGTAAACGTTATACCTGCTGAACATAAACTTATCCTTGTCTTTGTGAGGATGTCACCATGCTGACGTTAGCATTTAGCTCAACGCTCAGCTTTGCCTATAAGTCTCACAGAACCACTAGCATGGCTCTAGACTCTTGTTTTATTAAACTCAAGACTCAGAATGCCTTGGAATCTTTTTTCGTGTTTGCCTCTTTTTTCACTTAACTCCAAATAGCACCTTTTATTATTATGTATCACTTTAAATATACATTTACAGATTAAAGCAACAATGCGCTTTTTTCTTTTTTTGTCATCAGGAGCAAGTCCAAAATATTTTCCAAAATAGGAATTTCTTGGATTTGCACGATATTTTCCGTGCAGGCTTCCACCTGCTGCAAGATAACTGAAAGACCCGACTGAACTATGAATGGAACCACCAAAATCTTACATTCTCTCACGCCATCAGTATGAAAAACAATATTTGTGTTGTTTTTTCCTAGAAGCTCATCAGGAGCCCTCTAGGATGCTGGGAAATGAAGCAGCGTTCCCATTGTGTCCAGACACTGCTACATCCAAACAACTGAAAATTATAGTGCTGTGCGCACTTGTTGTCTGAGTCGCAAAGAGAGGGACTGTCATTCGCAAACCGGCCTCCTCAGGACATACAATTAGTGTTGAAGAGATTGTGCACATGTGTGTCTGTTGTTTTACGGCCCATATAATTACCCCCCCGGTGGAAAGCTAGGGGCTCAGGGCGCTGACAGATGAGATTATTATAGACATTAGCAAACAGTGGAAGATTTAATTAAAAAATAAATTTGGCTATTGGTTATTTGTCTCTAATGGCGATAAACAGACACACACATACCTTCAGACATACAGCATTTTACCTGATGGAGTCAGTTGTGTTTGTTGTGATTTAACTTGCAGGTGTTAAGTTTTCCTGAGGGACTTTAACATTTCTAACATTTCCACTGGCAAGAACACAATCAAGGAAAATTGTGGAAACTTTTTCTCCACAAGTGGCAAATGATTGCTGAAGAAAAACAGCCAAAGGCATCCCAGTGGGTGATTTTCCCTGGTTTTCTTTTGGCATGTGGAGGCCCAGAGCTCACATGTATGTCAGGGTGTACATTACCTGTCTGGCAGCCACCTCGTAGCCATCAGGGTTCATGGAGGGCAGGATGTGGATGCGCGTGTCATGGATCAGCCTTGTGATCCGCTGGTTTCCGGCTCGATACTCCTCGCAGAGAAACTGGGAGAACTTAATGAGCAGCTCACGGCCGAGCACTTCGTTGCCATGCATGTTGCCCACGTACTTGAACTCTGGCTCCACTGGGGAGGAAGTAGAGAGGTGGAGGGGGGCATGAGGTCAAAAAGCCACACAGAGCTGCCAAGCGTGACATTTAAAATGACTGCCTGAGTATGCTCACACATACATACACACATATGAGCTCGCTCACTCACCGCATGAAAGCACAGAATCAATAGCATAGTCTTTTTCATGTTTTTAATTGAACCTATGGTTTTTTTCTGTATGCCAGCATCTTGAGTTTCTTAATGTTACAGGTTTTCAATTTTAATCTATCAACACATAACTTATAAAGCAACTTCTATAACTTATTAAATCAATGTAACCTTAGGTCGACAGCAGCCACTGTCACCATAAACGGCACTTACAGGACAATGGCAGATTCAATTTGCCTTCATTTACCAAAGTTCTCTTGAATCAGTAGCTTTAAATACATCGCCGCTGCAAATAGGGGAAAAAAGTCTCCTTGTGAGGTACACTGTGTTTACATCTCTATGTACTTTTGTGATAAAATCATTGAAATGTGACACGCTGAAACATGGTATAATAGCACAAGAGTCATAATGCAAGCGGACTACAATATCTATCTAAAGTTTGTTAATGTTAGCTAAAAGGATACTCCACCACTCCACGTCCACTCTTATACAGTTTTTAGACTCATGATGGATAGTTAAAAAAGGAACAAGATCTATACAGCAGAACCAGAGATATTTTTATTTTTATTCTATATTTTTGTCTTTTTTGATAAAATATGGCGCCTACATTACCCACAATGCAACTCGATCACCAACAGTTCTGTCGCAAGATTTGTGTATCTTGTGCTATTACCACCTCAAGCCGCTAGCCTCAAGCAGAGATGAG